GGAAGCTCCACATAAAAGTGCAACATACGATTTCCTGGCTAATATCTTGTTTGTGTAAGCTCTGTAGAGTAGGGCTGAGGTCTTCAGACAAGGCAATTTTTTAGAAGTTATCATAGTTTTCCATGTAACACTTCCCCCTAAAATAGAGGAAAAATTGAGTGTTGTTTTATACACGGAAGGAAGCCGACGCGCACTTGCCCCCTCTGGTGGCCTCGAGTCAGCAGCAGGAGGCAGAGGTGAAGGAGCATTCACACATGCCCTGGCGCCTCTTGCTGCTGCGTCCCCCGCCCACCCGATCACCACCTCCAGTGGGACTGATGGACTCAGCTCACGTCGGTGCCTTGTCCCCTCCGGTGGTGGAGGCAGCAGGAGGCAGAGGTGGAGGCAAGCAAGCACTCATGGGCGCTTGGGCACCTCTTCCTGGTGCCGCCGCCAGATCACCTCCTCCAGCAATTGTCTCCTTAGGGTAGGAGACAAGGCGGTGATGTGAGCTGGAGGTGAGCTCCGGCAGTCACACTGGAGGAGGTGATCGGACAGGCAGCGAAGACAGCAGCAGCAGGAGGAGATAGAGGTAGAGGAGCAGTTGCCCATTAACTGCTCCTCCGCCTCCATCAAGGGTCAAAATTAGGGGGTCGTTTTATACATTGGGGGGTCGTGTACACGGAAAAATACGGTAAACATTTCCCTTTCTTTTCCCACAGTCTTCACTGGTTCTTGAGAATAAAAGGAATTACCGTAATTACTCAGGGCCTTGGGACGAAAAGGGGAAATGTTTCTTTTCTTTTTTTTTAATCTCACCAGCCTTCTGCTGCAGAATTTAAACCAAATTTTATCCACTGCCTAATTGGAACAGCCCCTTCATGGACTGCTGCCTTGCCGTGGCTAAGGGGCTTGAGTAACTCAAAGAAGCTATGGGCTATGCCGTGCAGGGCCACCCAAGATGGACAGGTCATAGTGGAGAGTTCCGACTAAATGCAATCCACCTGGAGCAGGCTTTGGCAAGCCACTCCAGTATCTATGCCAAGAAAACCCCATGACCAGAAAAAAGGCTAAAAGATATGACGCTGGAATATGGGACCCTCAGGTCAGAAAGCGTCCAACATTCTACTGAGGAAGAGTGAAGGACAAGTACAAGTAGCTCCAGAGCTTAATGAAGTGGTTGGGCCAAAGCCGAAAGGACACTCAGCTGAGGACGCGCCTGGAAGTGAAAGGAAAGGTTTGTGTGATCAGGCCCTAAACTGTGCTGGGAAGATATTTTTAGGCAGTGGTTCACAACCTTGGGTCCCCAGATGTTCTTGGATGAAAACTCCAAGACGTCTTCACCAATAGTTCTGCTGGCCAAGAATTCTGGGTAGTCCAAGAACATCTGAGGACTTAAAGTTAAGAAGTACTGTTACGAAGGAAATTATTGTTTCAAAATGCATGTTTGTAATCGGCTTTAACTATTCCCTCCTCTTCACGGATTGCTGCCTTGTCATGGCAAAAGGGCTTGAGTAACTCAGAGAAGCTATGGGCTATGTCATGCAGGGACACCCAAGACAGACATGTCATAGTGGAGAGTTCTGACTAAACGTGATCCACTTGTAGCAGGAACTGGCAAGCCACTCCAGTATCTTTGCCAAGAAAACCCCATGAACAGAAGCAAAAGGCTAAAAGATATAATGCTGGAAGATCAGCCCCTCAGACGTCCAACATGTTACTGAGGAAGAGTGGAGGACAAGTACAAGTAGCTCCAGAGCTAATGAAGTGGTTGGGCCAAAGCCGAAAGGACGCTCAGCTGAGGACGCGTCTGGAAGTGAAAGGAAAGTCTGATGCTGCAAAGAAAAATACTGCATAGGAACATGGAATGTAAGATCTATGAACCTTGGTAAGCTGGATGTGGTCAAACAGGAGATGGCAAGAATAAACATTGACATCCTGGGCTTGGTGAACTAAAATGGACGAGAATGGGCGAATTAAATTCGGACTATTATATCTATTACTGTGGGCAAGAATCCCGTAGAAGAAATGGAGTAGCCCCCATAGCCAACAAAAGAGTGGGAAAAGCTGTACTGGGATATAATCTCAAAAATGCTAGAATGATTTTAATACGAATCCAATGCAGCCATTTGAACATCACAGTAATCCAAGTTTATGCAACAACCACTAATGCTAAAGAGGCTAAAATTGACCAATTCTATGAAGACCTACAACACCTTCTAGAACTGACACCAAAGAAAGATGTTCTTCTCATTATAGGGGATTGGAATGCTAAAGTAGGGAGTCAAGAGA